GGGGGGGGGGGGGAAGAGGGGGAAACTGCCAGGAAGGTGGCCAAGGGGCAAGCGGAGAGAGGTCACAAAGACACACACACACACACACCTCCCCCAAGTCACCCCGCCCTTTTTCTGGCCTGCTCCTTCTAGAAGGATTATGTGTATTTACTTAGCGTAGGTCACTTGCAATCCGGGATGCAAAAATTTAGTTTAAATAAAGAAGGAAGGGGGGGGGGAGAAAGCAAGCTTTCCCATTTGCCTGCAGCCCGGCAAAAGAGTGTGTGTGTGTGTGTGTGTGTGTGTGTGGGAGTGGGGGTTGTTCCTTCCCTGCCCTCTCTCCCCTCCCCTCTTCCCTCCCCCCCCACACTCCTCCTTTTTTTACCTGGTTTGCACTCCGGAATGGCTGCCTGGTAATCTGCTCCCACACGGATCATGCTATCTGCGCGAAGGAACAAGAGAGGGCAAAACAACAATAACAACAACAACAAAATAACTCTCAAGTTAAGGGGGGGGGGAAGGAGGGGGGAAGGAGGGGGAGGGGGACACACAAGGGGCTTCCTGAGGGGGGCTGAGTTGCCAAGCAACCTGCCCCCAGGTGCCCGGAAGTCGGGCTCGCTTGCCTCCCAACCCCCACCCCATTTGGATCCAACATCTGGGGGGGGGGAAGCTTTGGCCAAAAGGGGGGGGGGGCGGATTTGCAGGCGTGTTAAAACAACGGCAACCCCCCCTCCCCATGCCAAAAGCCCCCCCCCCCTTTTCCCCTTTCTATGTTTGGCTTCCTTGGCCTGCTGATGGGGGCTGGGAGGTGGCTGAGCGGAGACCACTTGGGGGCCCAAGGGAGCCTTCTCCTTCCCCCCCCCCACCCCTCATATTCTCTCCCCCCTCCCCCACTAACCAGCCCTCTGATCCTCTCCAAAGTGAAGCCCGGGGGGGGTTGGGGAAGAGCCCCCCCCCCCCAGGCTGGAGCCCCTCCCCCAACTCCTGGTCCTTGCCTGCTGTCTTAGCATTCAGGCCACCGTGTGTCCCTGAATCGTAGACCTTTGGGGGCTGGAGAATCAAGGCCCCCTTGGGGCGCCCCCCCCCAAAAAAAACAATAAGAGAATAACTGAGAAACCTGCCATTAAAGTTTGAGCCTCCCCACCATCTATTCCCGCCTCCCCCAGCAGCTTCTGTCCTTTTGATTGGGCTTTCTTTCCTTCCTTCCTTCCCTTTTCCTCCCCTTTGTTACTCCTTCCTCCCTCTTCTTTCCGTCCCCTCCCCTTCATTACTCCCTCTCCCTCCTTCCTTCCCTCCCCTTTGTTACTCTTGCCTTACTGCCCAGCCGCCTTTCTGCCTTTCTTCCTTCCCTTTCCTCTCCCTCCTCCTCCCTCCCTCCCACCCTCCCTTTCCTTCCCCTTCATTACTCCTCCATCATCTCCTTCCTTCCTCTTCCTTCTCTTCCCCTCCCCTTCATTACTCAATCTCCTTCCTTCCTTCCTTTCTCTTCCTTC